TAGTAGAGTTCACTCTAGGTATCGAGTCCGTACACTCTCTCTCATGATACTTGGTAAGCTTTCTCATAATCAAAAATTATCTCTATTTCATATCTTAACTTTAGAAACTCAAACACCAATTACAAACATATGTATTCTCATATTTCTATACTTACAGACTTGTTCGCGTATCCATTGTACATATAATTTATATGTATGTAACACACTTTCTATTATATATACATATACGGACAACAATATATATCTTAACTACTCCTACACATATTTCACATATAATCATATTTACCATTAAAAGCTTACAGATTTACATTCATACTCATACAACAACTTTAATTACTTACCGATACATACACTGTATTATATGCTCACACATATACATCATTTATCCATATATTCTTACGTGTGTACACAAATTTAATATATACATATGTTTGCACTCATTATCAACACACGTAGCACACATTGAAAACTTATATACACCTATACACATCCAAACACTCACACATATACATATTAAGACACACATGCACTTTAGTCTCATTCACATATCCACATATGTCTATATAATAGTATCCATATATATGTGTGTGTGTATATATATATATATATTTGTGCTTGCACAGTTAAGTTACATACATATACACTACCACACGACTTTCATTACATATAAGTAAACACACACACACACACAAAAGCATATATATATATATATATATATATATATATATATATAAAGACATACAGTTTGTAAACATACGCTTCCACCCATTATCTCCTATATATGTATCTATTGGCACACCCGTATACATGCAAACACACTCAGCTATGTATTCATATAGCTTCAATATTATTTTTAATTATACAAATACAATCGTAAGAATTCAGTCACATACTTTTATGTACAGATAATAATTTGTAAGAAAACACATTCTAAAATCATCGATTAAATTTGGATCTATCATTTTGAAATCAATAAATTATTTTACAAAAATATGAAATCTCCAAATAAAAACTAACTCAATTCTTACCAGAATCTCAAACGAAATAAGAAATCAGAAAGTTTCCGAACAACTTTGATTCCATACAATTGGCTCCCTTTTCAGTTTTCTATTCCCAATTTCCCTAAAAATTTCATACGTATGATTAAGAATTTAATCTAAAAGAATAACTAAATATAAGGTGGAAGAAAATTTACCAAAATTGGTGTCAAATTCGAACTTCCGACTCAAAAGAGTGTGATTTTTGTCTCTCTTCGATTCCCTTTTTGTTGGCCTCGCATGGATCTTTGAACGGATCTGAAACGCCGTGTCATGGTCTGCCTCATGCAGATTAGGTCCACCCAACACTGCACTTTGCTTCTTCTTCTTCAATAGTGCGCACCGCGAGTCCAACACCACACGCTGCGTGCCTGGCACCACACAAAACTCTTTTTTTCTGGTTGCGTGCGCCATGCTTCTTTCCTCATCCTCCTTCTTTTTCTACTACTTCTTCTTCAACAGCGCGCACCACGCGCCCGATACTGCGTGCAACTCCTCTTTTCTGACTGCATGCGTTGCGCGCCATGCTTCCTTCTTTCTCCTCCTTTTCCTCCTCCTTTTCCTTATTCTTCTTCTTCATCGCCCATGTCCCCCTTTCTGTTATGGGTTTTTTTGTTAAAAAATTTTATTTATTTATTTTATTTTTATATCTTTTGGCTTGGGCCTGGACTTCGTACTCTCCCTTGGGGTTGGTTATTACATCAATCACATATAAAATTATTTAACTATTTCATTGAAAAAAAATTTATATAATTCATCCAAATAACTAGTACAAATAAAATTTTATAATGACAGTGCTGTTAAGATTAAATTTATTTATTTATTAATTTAGATTTACTAAATTATACAAAATGAAATAAGTAATTCAAAATTTTTTAATTAACTAATTTTTTTTTTGTTTGATATAGTTTTGGTATTAATTTTAATTTATAGTTCAACCAATTATATTAAACATTTCAATATTAACTAAATTATCTTATTTACAACTTCAATTTGTAATGCTATGATAAATGGGTAGGGAATGAGGAGGACTAGAATTAGAGGCTATTGAGTTCTCTTGATTTTTTTACTTTTGTATTCTTTTGATTTCTTTTTGTGTAACAAATAATTCCAAACGTGATAATTAGTGACTCCACCTCACGAGTTGACCATCCACTCCAACCCCACCACGATTTGTACTATACCAATAATATATGTAATATATATATATATATATATATGGGTCACATACATGAATACATACATAATAATGTGTGTTGAAATGCACATACATAATTTATATTACGGAGCGTGATGATTTTGACAAATCCTTTTTTTTTTTTTATTGTTATTAAAAAATTAATATGCTTTCGACTACGGGGCGTATCATGGAGTAAGTTAATTATATAATATATACACACACATAGATATATATATATATATATATATATATGTAGCATCTTTCTTTTTATTGGATTTGTTGAATATTAAAGCAACACCATTTTTTTTTTTTATAACTGTTATCATACATAATATTTTTTGGATGATAATTGGGAATGAGTTAATTTTTTAATTTTTAATTTTAATTATGAGATTATAATAATTACATTTATAATGGATTGAAATGATAATATCAATGCACTTCAAACTTTTTTTTTTTTTATTGGAAACTTACCAAACTTTATAATTTATTTATATAAAATCGAAAGAATAATATCAATGAATTTTAAATTTTGTATTGAAAAGTTACCAACAACGTTTGATTCATATTGTATAGTACTTATAATGGATAGAGTTTAATAAATCAATTTATATTGTAAGACAATAGTGACTAATTTATAATATTTAATTATATAATATTTATAAATTAATTTATTCGTATTTAAGTGAAACTGCAATAAAACAAACTGAATTATAGAATCTTCCAAAAATTTATTAATCAATTTCCTAAATCTGTTATTTCCGAATTACTTATTATACAGTACACAGGATTGTTGTTCATTTGTTTTCTGATTCTGCACAGACTTCAACAGTAGCTTTATACATAACTATGTATGTAACAATGGAATACTTGCCTGGCAAGTCCTCGTCCACCACTTCCCTAATTACTTCTCTTTATCAAAGCTTAATTTAAGGTTACTTGCTCACACCAAACAAGTATATATATATATATATATATATTTATATGTGGGTGTAGAATAATAATTAAGTATTAAACAGATGCTAATTTGATGTTTGATAGTTCATTAGACATGTGATCATTGGTTTGCAGACAAAGTTTAGTGGGACTTGGAGGTCTCTTTTTAAAGGGTTTGAAATGATTAAAGTAGAAACTTTTAAAGAAATTGGGAACTCCTCTGATGTTCTCCATTCTGTTTTCTTATTCTTCCACAAGTCAGCACTAATGGAATAAAAAGCTTCTATATGTTTAAATCTTTTTCAATAAAATAAAACCCAATTATACAAGCACAACACATATATATATATATATATATATTGATAAAGTTACAACACCAGCGGATATAAATATAAGTTAATAACAAATTAATGGAGAAGTTAGTGGTATTCAATAAAAGAACATAATTTTTTTTTGTTTACATTGATTGTATGCCTATGTAACATAATTCATTTGCATCAAATGAATTCATTCTTTTTCGTAATTTTACTTCTTATTCTTATTTTGCGATGTAATGCATCTTTTCTTTTCTTCAAAATATATGTAGTTTGTAACCTTTTTATAATGTTTCTTACTCTATATATATATATATATATATAAGTAAATATTGCAATAATCTTACAAGCTATTGGGCAAAGGAGAGAATTTGATACATAATTTTTTTCTGGGTCGGACGAAATCATAATTTTGGAGATTTGGGTTGGCCAGATGTTGAAGTTGATGGAGAGATTTTGGTTATGTGGTGAAATGATTGCATGTGGATGTTTGACCTTCCAAAAACTTTAATTAATTTTTTTTTTTTTTTTTTGCCAACGCTATAATAATGTTGCTTTATTACAATTTGTGCCAGAAATTTTCAGCCATATTTTTTGAGTAGAAGATACTCCTACTTCCATGATTCTCTTGGAGAAACTAACTCACTTCCTTTGTTTTCTTTCACTTTTTTCCTGATGAAGTGGACACATACATATAATATATATATATATATATGGACCCATCAACTTTATAAACAATGTTCAATGTTTGTTTGTGTGAGTATATATATATATATTGTATTGTAAATAACGCCAGCCACCTTCCTCCTTGCAAACTTTTTGTTTAGTGTATTTATTTTATTATATAAAAAATTATTCCCTTTTTTAGTTAAATAAAAATATTTTTTAAAAGTAATTATAAATTTTATTCCTCATAGTTTATTTTATTAAAATTTTAATAAAAACATACTGATAATATGAAAATTATACAGCCAATAACATAAAAATATATCAGCCAAAAAAAAAAAAAAAAAAAACAAAATCAAAATAGTAGATAAATGCATTCTGAATATTAATTATATACGTCAACATATTTTTAATGGAGTAGCAAAGTGTATAAGAAAATATTATAGTTAACTCTGTGTATATGACAAATTTTATGGAATAAAACACAATTTACGTTTTTATTTTAAAAAATAAATTGATTTCTGTGATGGATTTATATTAATAATGGACTTTTGGTGTTATAGAATTTTTTTTTTAATTCAAAATAATTAGCTATTAATTTATTTTTAACGCAAATCATTTTATATCATGATCTTATTTAATTAATTTAGATCTTATAATAAGCAAAGTTTGCTCATGATTTTGTATAATAGCGGACTGCCAGCTCTACTCCACCGAACTATATAATATGGTTGAACTGAAAATTTCATTGACACGTAGCAAGTACAAAGCATATACAAAATGTGCAGAAGAACTAAGCCCTCAAATCTATAAATACTAGTCCATTTTACAAAGGGAAGTATAAGGAGGTCCTGTAATTTGGGTTGTAGTTGGACAAGACTCTGGATAGTTAGATGGTGTATCTAAAGGCCGCACTAAAAATTGCTCCATTAACTTTAACTGGTTACCTCCTCAGTACAGGTTGCATCCAAGCACTGATAATTTCTTATGTTGGGTGCTGCGCTAGGCATATAAGAGGGCAGCACCTTTCCATCTTGCCAATTTCTTTTGCAGTTCTGTCAACAAATTGTCTTTGCGAACACTTTCCTTTAAGACAATTTGACCTCGCAACATCCTTCTATGATGAGCATTCAAATTAGGGCTGAAATACACAAACGATTTGTTTTGCAAGTTCAAGGCTTGACCTGACCATTGGCAGCAAGCATCCAGACTCTTGAGTGATGATACTGATCGTTGCGGTTGAAGCCTTTGTCCAAATAGTAAACCCTATCTACTCAAGATTGGATAGTTCTAACTTTAGTATTGACACTAGCCTGAGACACATGGAAAATGCACTCCTAACACTTGAAATCTAAGTAACTGGTAAAGGAGTTTGTAACAAGATAGCACTTGTCAAGATATGTTAATCCCTTATCGATCTATATTAATTTATATATCTGTTGGGTTACTGTATAACCATTTGATCCCAGGGAAAAATCTAGTATGTTACCAGTACTAGTTTTGCTCTCCTAGTAGTGTAGACCCTGTCTGTTCCTATCCAGTGATGTCCTCTGCATGAAGGGGTATTAAGTAATGCTATAATGGCTTACAACAGCTTACCCATTTCATCTTATCCGCATCCTGCACACTAGGAACGTGGGGGGTCAATAAATTCATTAACAGTAGCATCAGTTGATTATAACTTTGTTTTTGTCTCTGAGAATACGTCAGAGCCAAATCAATGGGCTTATGGAAATTAAGGTTGTTAATGGGACAAAGAAGAGAAATGGTCAAGATCAAATCATCTCAAATGTGCTAGGCAGAGCAGGTTAGAGCTTAACCGCACTCATGTACAGAGATTCCATTATTTTGTATATTAGACAACCTACATCATGCTACAGTACATAGATTATGCAATTGGCAGAGAATCTGAGGGCAAAGGGGGCAGAAAGACAGAGATCATGCCCTTCAAAGAGAACTGAAAAATGGTTTAATATTCCTCCTAACCTAATAATCATATCACACATTATCTTGTAAATATGCTACAGAAAACACTGTAAGTGCACATAAAGAAAGGCCTAACAGAAGGCCTGCAGGAATTGGTTTTCTAGTAGCTGCCAACCGTATGCCTGAAACAATAAGATAAATAACCAAGAGATGATCAAGTCCCGGAAGTATGGTTTACATAAAAAGTAACAGGTACCTGGCACATCATGCGCCTACTCATAATCAAAATTTAAGGAAGAAAAGTGAGTAAGAAGAAGCATACCAAATACAAAAGAGAACAGAAAGGCCGAGCCAAAGCCAAGGGCATCACCTATTGCTTTTGTTTCTGGTGCTTGCATGAGAACATAAGCCTACACGGCAAGATCATCATTAGTTATTAGGATACCGCATTAGCAGAAGAAATGTCCAGATTCCTAAGAAATCAAGGTTCTAATAAATACTTGTCTATGTCTTTTCAGCATCTAAGAACCAGCTTTGCAAGGAAACAACAAACAAAAAGGTGGCAAAGTTATAACCATACATTATGTGTTTTTCATCATAAAAACTAAGAGAAGTGTTTGTGTCATTTTTCTTAAAAGAAAGAAAGGTGCAACATTAAGAAACTGGGTTGTGAACAGAGGTGAGGTAAAAGATTTTCTTATTTAAACGAAACAAATTCTGAAACAGAGAAGAGAAAGTTAATGCTTCTCTCTGTCTTTCCTTTACTTATTTATACACGTGTATTTACAACAAAATTACACAACATTAGTTAAACTCACTTCGAATTAACTAACTAACAATAGTTAGTTATCAGCTGGTTTGAGTTAACCAATTTACCAGACTAACAGACTAAGTAAAAGCAGTTTGACTAACTAATTCTCAACAGCACTATTTAATACCCAACCCCCTCTCAAGTTTGGATTATGGTGGATGTCTGCCAAGTCTGACATGAGACGAAGGTTATTGAAAGTTGTAGAAAGTAGAGGCTTTGTGAAGATGTCAGCTATCTGATATGTGGTCCTTACAAATTTAGTTGTAACAAACCCTTCTTTTACTTTGTTTCGAACAATGTGATGGTCAATATTCAAATGTTTAGTTTTTCTATGAAATACTGGATTAGCAGCTATGTGCATGGCTGCCTTATTATCACACTTGAACTCTATTGGTAGATTGTAAGACACTTCTAACTCTTTGAGAATGTATATAATCCACTGTAATTCACACACTGTCATTGCTATAGATTTGTATTCGGCTTTGCTGAACTACGGCTCACAGTGGGTTGCTTCTTTGTTTTCTATGAGACCAATGAAGACCCCAAGAATAAGTGAGAGATTTACGAGTCTCTGGGCAAACGGCCCAATCAGAATCACAATAGGCAGTTATCTTGAATGTATTACTAGTCGGAAACATGATGCCTAATGATGGTTCTTGTTTCAAGTATTTGAGGACGTAATGTGCCATCTTCATATGCATCTGTCTTGGACTCTGAACATGTTGACTGAGTTGTTGTACTGAATAGGTGATGTCCAGACGTGTGAAGCCCAAGAATAAAAGCTTTCCCACAATACTTCTATACTGTAACGCCCCAGTTTTTTTTTCTCTCTTAACAGCGTAGGCTAAAATAGTTACATGACTAAATAATAAAATTTCATTCTAAATTAGTTGCACGCATAGAAATACTACCACAATCTATTGTTTAAAGTCAAAAATAAACCTGCAACCATACATGTGACATCACAGTGAAATACAACCTCATACACTCCCAGCAGATACACAATCTATACTACCACTAACTTTTACACACTCAATTCCGCCAATAAAAATCCTTGCACTGTTGCTCTATATGCTAGTCTCGGAAACCAGCAACTCCGATGTCAACTCCATCCCTATTTCATCTGTAAATAATAAAAAGTGAGTACATATAACCCAGTACAGTAAAAATTAAGTTACAAGTATCATATGCAACAATATGAAACCCAGTATTTCTATATGTATTCTCTCTCCGTAACCTAAGTCATACCTTCTTATCCCCATGGAACTACACGGGCCTAATACTTACCCCCTGGTATTTTAAATATTACTCATATTAAGTGTGACCGTTCCCCGACGTCACCCCTCCTCGACCCGGGTTAGGCCACTCAACCATACAAATGTTCTCATCCGTCACCAGTATCAACGACTATCAATGAACCTTCTATCTCTCGACCCCTAACAGGCCACACACACACAGATACCATTTTCTCCCGTCACCAATATCGGCGATCCAACCCCTTACCCGTCGGAGTCCCCCTACTATCACCATTATCGGCGATCAACTCACCCTTTTAGGTAGCGACAACCAATATCGGCATCCTCCCAATGCAACTTACTCAAGAACAATATCACTCCGTTCTTACTCCACAACATTGTCCTGAGACCCTCCTATATTTTTAACCTGTATATAGAACCTACACGCGTCTCCCCATATGACACACACTAACACTTAACACACACACCAGTGATGTTCATTTATCAAACTCCTAAATTTACAGCAGCTATATCAACCTATATACACATGCAACTCACACCCGCACACCACACATCTACACCATTACACCTCTATCCCGATCCCTCACACCCACGCACTACAGGCCTCCCTTTCCTACTCCCTAATTTCCAGAATACACACACTCCACCCTTCCATGCCTACCTCCACTCACAACCACACAGAATTTCCACTCTCACACGAACCTCACTCACTCACCGAACTCCTCATTCTCTCTCCTCCCGCAACCTCCTCCATATACCTCCACTCATACTCACACAGAATCTCCCCTCTCTCACGGACCTCACTCATTCACCGAACTCCTCATTCTCCCTCTCCTCCCGCGGCCTCCTCCATGTACCTCCACTCATACTCACACAGAATTTCCTCTCTCAGAGACCTCACTCACTCACCGAACTCCTTCTCTCTCCTCCCGCGGCCTCCTCCATATACCTCCACTCATACTCACACAAAATCTCCCATCTCTCACGGACCTACTCACTCGCCGAACTCCTCATTCTCTCTCTCCTCCCGCGGCCTCCTCCATGTACCTCCACTCATACTCACACAAAATTTCTTTTCTCTCACGGACCTCTCTCACTCACCGAATTCCACATTCTCTCTCCTCCCGCGGCCTCCTCTGTGTACATCTTTCACACTTCCACGCTTCCACCTACCATCTCCACCCACCTATTCCCTGAATCACAGTTTTCTACTCTATATCCCAAACGAAGCCTATATTCTTCAACCTATGGTCACAATTTCAAATCTATACCAAACCTACACATGAAACTTAATATTTACCGTACCTCCCATCTCCATCTTTCTTTCTGCACTCCTGTGGCTCGCACCGTCACTGTCCTCCTTCTCCTTCTCCTTCTCTCTCTCTTCTCGTTCCTCCTCGCTCCGGCTCCTCTCTCTCTCTTCTTGTTCCTCCTCGCTCCGGCTCCTCTCTCTCTCTCTCGAACCTTCTCTTCCCCCGACCCCTCTTCTCTATTTTCTTTCTTTTCTTTTCTTTCCTCTTTCTTTTTTCTTTTTTTTTTTCCCTTCTCCTATTTGTACCCCACCTACCTCTCATCCTGCCCGTCCATCTCACCTCATCCCAGCCGTCCACTCCCTCTTCTCCAAACAACGTTGTTTCCTCATCTTCTTCACCAAACGACACCGTTTCCTCCAAATGACGCCGTTTCCTCCTCCTCTTCTCCAAACGGCACTATTTTCTCCTCCTCTTCTCCAAACGGCGCCGTTTCCTCCTCTCCCCAACTACACCACTTTTCCGTCTATAATTATTACTGTACATATATATACATACATACAAGAATTTTTTTTTTCCCTCAACATCCAATTACTACATGAACAGAGGTGAGGTAAAAGATTTTTTTATTTAAACGAAACAAATTCTGAAACAGAGAAGAGAAAGTTAATGTTTCTCTCTGTCTTTCCTCTTCTTATTTATACATGTGTATTTACAACAGAATTACACAACATTAGTTAAACCCACTTCAAATTAACTAACTAACAATAGTTAGTTATCAGCTGGTTTGAGTTAACCAATTTACCAGACTAACAGACTAACTAAAAGTAGTTTGACTTATTAATTCCCCCCCCCCAAGTTGGATTATGGTGGATGTCTGCCAAGTCTGACATGAGACGAAGGTTATTGAAAGTTGTAGAAAGAAGAGGCTTTGTGAAGATGTCAGCTATCTGATATGTTGTCCTTACAAATTTAGTTGTAACAAACCCTTTTTTTACTTTGTTTCGAACAATGTGATGGTTAATATCCAAATATTTAGTTCTTTCATGGAATACTGGATTAGCAGCTATGTGCATGGCTGCCTTATTATCACACTTGAACTCTATTGGTAGATTGTAAGACACTTATAACTCTTTGAGAATGTATATAATCCACCGTAACTCACACACCGTCATTGCTATAGATTTGTATTCGGCTTCTGCTAAACTACGACTCACAGTGGGTTGCTTCTTTGTTTTCTATGAGACCAATGAAAACCCCAAGAATATACAATACCCAGTGAGAGATTTATGAGTCTCTGGGCAAACAGCCTAGTCAGAATCACAATAGGCAGTTATCTTGAATATATTACTAGTCGGAAACATGATGCCTAATGATGGTTCTTGTTTGAAGTATTTGAGGATGTAATGTGCCATCTTCATATGCATCTGTCTTGGACTCTGAACATGTTGACTGAGTTGTTGTACTGAAAAGGTGATGTCCAGACGAGTGAAGCCCAAGTATAAAAGCTTTCCCACAATACTTCTATACTGTTGCGAATCCTCAAGTAGTGGTGACACATCTGAGTATAAGTTCTGTCCCTTTGCGAGAGGAGTGGATTTTGACTTTGCACCAATGAGACCACTATCTTTAAGCATAACTAGTATGTATTTCCTCTGATTTACATACTGTCATCTATCCTTTTGACCGATTGTAAAAACCCATATTTCAACAAAAACTGTGATAACTCCGGATTCCATTGTCTAAAAGCTTGTTTCAAACCATAGAGTGACCTCTGAAGTTTGCATACCTATCCTTTTTCTGCCTTCTCATATCCTTCTGGTGGAACCATTTAGACCTCCTCATTCAGATATCCATGGAGGAAAGCGTTATTGACGTCTAACTGGTGTAATTTCCATTGCATAGTTGCTGCAACAGACATCAAGATTCTTTCTGTAACCACCTTTGCTACTGGTGAAAAACTATCGAAATAATCTCTTCCGTCTACTTGGTGATATCCTTTCGCTACCAGCCTTGCCCTGTACCCGTCTATGGTGCCATCCGGTATCAACTTCAGCTTGTAAACCCATCTACTCCCAATAGCTGTCTTTCCA